GCGATTATGGTAATGGGCGTTACATTTCCGACGAGTGCTTGGGTCAGCTGGCCAATCAGAGCAGACTGCGCTTGTCAAAGGAGGGGGCTTTGTAGAAAACGAAGCGTTTGAGAGGCGGGGCATAGAGGACCTACAATAATGTACAGTATTTGAAAAATAATGTGTTTTTTGAACATTAAAGCATGTCAACATATTCTGTTACACCAAATACACCAAATAATGATCTTTAAAAAAGCATCATATGACCCCTTTAACAGATAGACTAGAGAGGAGGAAAATAAAAACAATGAGTCACTTTGGATTAAATGTCAGTTTGTTTTGATGTAATCCCATGAAACACCATGTTTAAAACATGTTCATCATCATCATTAGACAGCTTACTCAACGGTACAACAAGGATTATAACAGCTTTTAAACCCAAGTCTGAGGTGTAAACGTCAACTTCCTTTACTTGAATAACCTATTGTCTGTTACTACAAATGATTATACACAACAAAATGTACCGTTTGGGGTCGGTAAGATTTTTTATGTTTTTGAAAGAAGTCTCTTATGCTCACCAAAGCTGCATTTGTTTGATCCACAATACAGTAAAAACAGCAACATTGTGAAATATTCTTAAAATTGAACTGTTTTCTATATTAATATATTTTGATTTTAAATAGAATACATATTTTAAAATAAACTGAACAGTAATGTAAATAATTACAAGCTTTTTTGTCTAAATCCAATAAACTATGTCTATTGATAAAGGGCTAGAAGATGTACAATAAACCTAAACTAGGTGTTTACATGTTTTGTGCAATGCATCTCATTACACAGTTTGGATCTCAGGTCCTTTGTAAAACCCTGATAACCATATATGGGAGATCAGTGATGTCTAAAGGGGCTCAGGTGGATGTGACTGAAATGAAAAGCTGCAGGTGGGTCAGAGCTTCACTTTTTACTGCCATATCACCTGCAGCAGGCTCACCTGACACTAATCAGAGCAGGATCCTGCTGCCAGTGCCAATGAAACACTGATGAAGAGGATAAAATCCCATCAGCTGCTTTTAAAGCAAGTCAGGAAGTGGTAGGATTCAGCACAATCCAACTAATAGTTCTCTCTCTCTCACACACACACACACAACCCAAGCACTTTTTCACTGCAGGTCCAGTCTGCAGCAGTGTGCACTGGCTGTCACACAAAAGCTTGTCTACTCACAATGGGTCAGAAACACAATGGGTCAAGATCATTGCTAACACTGAAAAATGCTCATGAAACATTTATTAATATTATCATTGTTGAAAACAGTTCTGGTGCTTAATATTATATTTTTTTTCCAGGAAGAATAAAAAAATCAAAAGATCAGCATTTACTATTTACTTTTTTTGTAACATTATAAGTGTCACTTTTGATCAAGTTAATTGCATCCTTGCTGAATAAAAGTATAAATTTTTGTTTATAAATATATATATATATATGAAATTTCAATATAGTTATCTTGGTGTGAACAGGTCTTAAGAAAATGCCAAAGAATCAGTGCCAGCAGTGCCAAGCCTTAATGGAGGATGCATGGATGTCACATTCATTGCTTTCATAAGAATGAGACAGCGAAACAGAAGATGAATCACTTCTGCATTTTCATTCCAGTAAACACATTACGTGCACAAAAAATAAATCATACCACTCTCTGTCAAATCAAAACACCCACTATTTAGCAACATTACCTCAAGCGTGTGACAAATGTTACGCCCTTACCAGGTTCAGGAAACTTTCTTCCATAAAATGCGCTGCACACACTCGAATATTTGGGTTGTACTGTTCTGCAACAGTGTTGTAAATAAAACTTAACCACTGATTTCTAGTTGTGTCC